AAAGAAAAAGTTATTTTGATGATTTTAAAATACAATAGCCATGATGTATATGCGCGTAACCCGGTACTGTTCATTTTTAATTAAAGTGACATTTTTACCCTAAAAAGTCACTCCTAGTAGTATTCACTTACAAAACCTTTTTGTTCTTTTGATTAAAACTCAAAGTTTTCAAGCAATTTTCATTAGTTTTCCTTAAAAAAAAATTATAACGCACATTAAAAATAAAAATATAAGTAATTTAAAAATACCAAACACGTTCAAAAAATTATAATAATTAATTTACAAGTGCGAAAAAATATGCAAACACTCGTGGTTACATCCTCTACACTTTGAGGATGTACTTGATCTTGAACCATGATGTGATTTGGTCAAGGGCCGTCGAGGTTTGATTTTGAACAAATCAGGAGCACGAGTAGTGTCACATGGTGGGTGATCTTCGGCTTTGGTGATGGATGAATTGGCACGTGTGTTTCTTGTGCTTGTGGATTCTTCACGAGTTTGGTGAAGAACATGAGTGTTTTTATTTTAATGTTTACCTGGGTCAGAGAGCTTTTTGAACTTCTTCAAGGCTTGAGCTTGCTTTGTTTTATCTGAAACCTCTTAGCATTTATAGGCAAAGGATTGTGTCTTAGTTTAGAATCCTCAATCTGAATCCTGTGATTTCTAGGATTGATTTTTTAATTTGAATTAATTTGAGTTAGTTATTTAACTTAGTTGTAAATCATAATCTTTGATTTATAAAATTAAACTCTAATTGATATAATTTGATTAAGAATAGGATTATTTGTCCTCTTTGGTACTTGATTTGATTTGTTGACAGTATTTTAGATGCTGACAAGTGTCGGTCTTAATAACCCTTAGGGTGCGTTTGTTTGAGCTCCTTAACCCTCACTGGACTGGATTGGACTACACATTAGTGTAGTCCTGTGTTTGTTACTTACACGGACTAAGTTTAATGGGATAATACCGGACTCGCGTGGACTATATATGTCACTAGGAGGTCTTAGCGAGACCCCCCAAATACCATGGGATTGCTAAGACCTCGTCTGCTCGCTTCGCCAACATCACCTGCTCCCACCAACCCAGAACTGCAGAGAACCTAGAATCCAGAATCAAGTCATCTCGTTTCGAATCGTGGAGAACCCAGAATTGCCAGTTCTTCGTCTGCTCATTTCGAATCGCAGAGAACCCAAAGCCCAAAACCCAGATCTTTGTCTGATGAGCTTGGATGTTCCCTTCTCTCTCTAGAAATGGACGGTTTCTCTCTCTCCCTCACCACCAACACTACCCCTTTCTTTCTCACTCGCCCTCGTCTTCTTCCTTCACTTTCTTGCACAACCCAAAATTTCCCTCTAAGGCTCAAGAAATGGGTTGTTTTCAGTTCCAGGGAGGAGCCAAAGCTCGACCCTTTGGACCAAATGGAGCTCAAGTTCGTCGATTTGCAGATCCGATGATCGACGAAGCTTCTGCAAATTGAAAAAAAAAATTTGGGGATTTTTCTGGGTTTGATTTGAGGAGAAAAGTAAATTAAAAGAAGATAAATATGGGTTTGAATTCAAGAGAAAGTAAATGAAAAGAAGAGAAGATATGGGTTTTATTTTTTCTGGTTTGAGTTTAGCAAATCTGGGCATGAAGAACCAGAGCAAATGAACAAAGAAAAAAAGAGACAGGGGAGAGAGAGTCAAATAAAAATAGGTGTAATTTGTTTATTTTTTTTAAGATAAAAAAGTGTATTAATAATAGTAAAATATTTTAGTCCGTGATTTAGTCCGATAGTACACCAAACACTTCATTATTCTTATCCAGCTTAGTCCAAGCCAAGACAGTCTAGCTTAGTCCCGGAAATTAGTCCAGTCCGAAATAGTCCGATGCAACAAACGCACCCTTATAGTTTTAACGAGTCATAATGTGCACCAATTTATGACGTGCAAACAAAAGCCTAAAAGCCTTCAATTCCCTTCCCCACAAGTGAAAAAGATAAGTAATCAATAACACGGTACTCTAGTAAGAGAGTGGAGGATCTCAGAGATCTTTCAATCATATTCGTTCATCATATATCGTACGGTCAGTTTTTGTCAGGTACTGTTTATATTCAATTTTAAATAAAAAAATTTACTATGATTTCTGACCGTACGATGTACGATGAACGGATGTGATTGGAGAATTCCCAAGATCCTCACAAAGAAGATCCGACGAGGATTCTCCTGATTCTAGTAACGAATACATGATAAGTAATCAATAACAGTACTCTAGTAGTGAATACTAATTACTTGGAGGACTTCTTAAAATAATAATAAAACATACTCAACATAGAAAATACATACTCAAAATAGAAAATTTTTGTGTAGAGCATACTTATGGTTTTTTTTTTTTTTTTTGAGGAAAGAAAATGCTTATGTTATGTATATCATTTCACATGTTATTATATAAACAAGCAATTATAAGACGAGAGACAATGTTGATATGTAATTTATTGATAAAACATAAATACACAAATTAAAATCTTCGTAAAATAATAAAGGTCTAATTGGATAAATGGTCTTTGTGGTGATAAAGTATTCGGAAGGGAGCTCTCGCGGTAAAAAAAAAAATCGGATTTAAACCCTTATGGTGAAGTCCGTTAAGATTTAAGTCCAAAAACAAAATTGTCGTTAATTCTCCGTTAACTTCATTAGCCATGCCTCCACACTGAACAACCAAATTTCCTCCATTGCCACTGCCAGTTATGAAGCACCCAACCAAAGTTTGAAATCAACTTGATTGTTGCCTCCATGTGTTTGCACTTTTTTTTATTCGAATGGCTCCAATCTGTTTATTAACAGAGCATCAAAACACTTGCCCCATTTCACTTTAAAATTTCTTCCAAGTACTTTAAAATGCTCAAGAGTGTGTGTGTTGAGGTTTTCTGTAACAATTTTTCAACTAAAACCAAGGAAACTGAAATTTGCACCATAATCCAAAGAAATGGCATTTACTTTTCCATCCCTGAAATCTAATAATTATAATCAGGCCCTCTTGGCGAAGTCACTCGCGGCATCATCGTCCCTATCGTTTCCTTCCAATGGATTATCCAGCCCTAAGCCAGGCTTGTTCTCTCCAAATGGAGCATCAGGGGTGCCGAAGCTGTTGTCGCCACCAACACTGAAGTTATCACCAATACCAACACTAGTACCTTTCTGGTTAAAGTAGCCACATAAGACCCTCAGGCAAAGGTTCTCCACCTGACTTTGCAGCTAGTAATACTTTCTGGCATTCTGGAATTGACAAACCCCTCAAGTGAATTCCCTCTAATTGAAAAAGAAAAAGAAACTTAACGGAGAAACTAGCGAAATTTTTAATTTTGTGCTTAATTCCTAACGGATTTTACCACAAGGGTTTAAATCCGAATTTTTCTACCATATGAGCTACCTTCCGAATATTCTATCACCACGAGGACCATTTATCCAATTAGGCCAATAATAAAACTATGTAAATGTGTTCCAAGTATACCGAACAGTATCTCTACAATACAATACACAACATAGAAAGAGAGGAGTAAATTAGGGTTTTTTTTTTCGGTGCCACCACACAGTGGCGAAGCTACATGATTGCGAGGAGTGCCGGCCGCCCCTCCCCTCACCGGCAAACATGCTTAGGAGCGCTAGTTCAGCCCCTCTGCTGTCGTCGGAATTCATGGCACCTGTAAAAATGGGTTTCACGAAGGAGGGATTAGGGATCAGTTCAACAGAAGACGGAGGTTTCAGCAAAGGAGGGGGTTTGACGGAGAAGAGAGATTTGTAGAACTATTCGGGTTAGAATCGACGAAAAGGTTGGAGGAAGGGGTGGGTGGGTGTTCGACAAAGGAGAAAGGGACTAGAAGGTGAGATTTGCAACGATGGCAAGAAGGTAGAAAGAAGAGAGGTTGTGTTTGGTCACGGGTTCAATGGGAAACTTAGTGTTTGGTTACAAATGTAGAGAGAAAGTATAGATGACATGTGTTTCAAGATTATTGGACCATATCAGAAGTGAGTAAAATTTGGGCACTCCCTTGTGAGTACTGAAGTCTTATCTATTTGGGTGTGAGTTTTAAAGACATGCGTTGGACAATTATTGGGCCACCTAATGAGTCAGTAAAAATTAGGTACTAACACCTTACCCAAGTATTGACCCACCACTTCTCTTTCGATCTTTATCTTTCTGCCCCACTTTTTGTTTACCCATTTCCCCCCTTTTTTTTCACTTCTGACCCCACCTTTTTTTTGGTGGTTTATTAACCCATTTCTCTTCTTTTTTTATTTTTTTTATTCTTGTATGTATTTTTATTTTCTCTTTTAAGATTCCTACTATATTTATCTTAATTTCTTACATTATTTAACTTTTTTAAAAACAATGTAAATATTGTTTAATACTTATTTTACGATAATTTAAATCCATCTAGGCTCCTGCCTAGATCTCACCTAGACACCTAGCTGCTAGATCTCAGTCCGCTGTTTGACTAGCGCTTAACGTTTTTTAGGATCTAATCCTAGCCAATTTAAGTTTCTTACATTGGCTTTGATATTATTACTTACAACCGCTTTGGTGAATAGATTATTTTTTGCTATGAATATTGATTCAAAACTTTACACACTCTAATATAAAAACAACCGCTTCAATTGAACCTTACACTCTTTTAAATTTCACTCCTCTTCTCGGCAAATCCTAGCTTCGCCACTGCCACCACAATACCCCCATTGAATGCCACACACGGTTTTGTGAGAGGCGAATAGAGTGCGAGAGAGGGGAAAAAATGATGATGAGTGAGTGAGGGAGTCTGAGCATAGCTGACTTTTTGCAAGGGAAGGCAGTGAGTAAATGCTGTTTTGCTGCCCATTTTGACTCCTTGTACTTGCTTTTGTCAGCACTCAGCGCTCACCACAGCCTTCTTTCTCTCTCTCTCTCTCTCTCTCTCTCTCTCTCTCTCTCTCTCTCTCTCTCTCTCTCTATATATATATATATATATATATACACACATACAAGACAAGCCCAACTCACCTGCCTTGGACACTTGTTTTTGCAATCCTTCATCAGTTCAGAGAAGAAAAAGAAAAAGAAAGGAAGAGGCAACAAGAACTTCTCTTTTTATTTCATCTTAGAGATTTGTCAAGATAAAAATAAACCTTTTTTTTCAGTTGCCTCCAATCTTGTTGTGAAATCAATAATCTTGGAAGATATCAGAGAGTGAGATAATTCAATTTCTTCATCTCTTGAAGCTAGCGAGTGGGAATTAGATTATTGGAAATTATGGGAAGGCCACCTTGCTGTGACAAACTCGGTATGAAGAAGGGGCCATGGACTCCAGAGGAAGACATCATACTGGTTTCTTACATTCAAGAACGTGGTGCTGGGAATTGGAGATCAGTTCCTACTAACACTGGTAATTAATTTTCTATATAATTATATTTAGCTTAAACTTTTTAAATGAATTTTAGCTGAGCTACTTTGAATTCCAATTAGTAATTTAGTATTATTCTTGGTAATTAAATTATTTGTGTTCACTCGTGTTTATTTTTGTTCATTAATTATTTTTGTTTTATTCGAGCTAAAAGGTGGAAATAAACAGTGTGCATGCGGAAAAACAGTCGGGAGAAATCACCTCCCATATTAAATTCTTTCTCCGTTTAGATTTTAGACCAGTACTATCATCCATCTTGTGTAAGTATATTGGTAGTTTTTTTTACCTCTCTTGTTTTGGTAATAACTGGTTTCAGATTGGGGTTGGTTTAATCATTAAAGTCATGTACTTATGACATGTACTTATGACCTGGTACTGGTTTTTCCATCTCGGAACAAGTACTGTTTACAGATGCATGGTCTGATTATATTGATTTTTGACAGTAATTTTATTAATTTGGTCGGAATATTGTCAGTAATTTTAATTAATAACTTCTTTTTAAAGGTTTGCTGAGATGCAGTAAGAGCTGCAGACTTAGATGGACTAATTATCTCCGCCCGGGTATCAAACGCGGTAACTTCACCGATCATGAGGAGAAGATGATAATCCATCTCCAAGCTCTTTTGGGCAATAGGTATAACACTTCCCCCCATCTCTACCTTTTTTTTTTTTTTTTTTAAATTAAAAAATTAAAAAATTGAAATAAAACATTACATAGAGATCCTCATCGAATTTTATTACTTGACAAGTCAAATCTTAATCTAGAATATTACATCCGGAAAATTACTAAACCAAATAGCTTGCACCCCATATCTACTTGTTGCCTATATTTTGTTTACTCCAAATTTGAATTTATATTTTTATATGTTTGGGGCATGAATTTTATGGATTTTGACTTGATTAAAGTACTGTTAATTTATTATATCTTTTGTTTTTGGATATTGGGGTTAGATACTCTTAAATCCCAGTAGTGAAGTTCTATATTGTTGTTTGATGACATATTATATAGGGGAGTGATTTTTTTTTTTTTTTTTTGTTAAATTAGGAGAGTTGAATATATGGAAGTGATTTTTTAATTTGTTTTTTAAGTCAGGGGAAATTAAAAATAGAATCATTGATCTTGTTTTGTAATTCCCCAAATTTGATGATGAAATTGTTTTAATGGGTGCAGATGGGCAGCCATTGCTTCATACCTTCCTCAGAGAACAGACAATGACATCAAAAATTACTGGAACACTCACTTGAAAAAAAAGCTGAAAAAGCTCCAGACAGGGCTTGATGGTCATGACCATCACAACGACCAGGATGGTTTTTCAGGTGATTCACTTGATCAGCCAATCTCCAAGGGTCAGTGGGAGAGAAGGCTTCAGACAGACATCCACATGGCCAAGCAAGCTCTTTCTGAGGCTCTCTCCATTAACAAACCAAGTATTATTAGTACTAGTGCTACTACTTCTCATGATCTTCACTTGCAAGCCTTGAAGCCCTCCATTAATATTGGTAATTACAATATTAATGATAACCCTATCACAAGCACAAGACCTCACCAAGCCTCCACATATGCATCCAATACTGATAACATTGCAAAATTGCTCAAAAACTGGATGAAAAATTCGCCGATGGTTTCCACTCATCAAACAAACGCGGATCAGGCCAATGCTGATCAGATCAATTCCTTCAATAACAACAACAAAGGTGGCACTACAACTAATAGAGGTTGTTCAATGAGTACTTCTAGTGAAGGGGCGCACAGCGCAGCCACTACGCCGGATCAGGCTTTCGATTCATTGTTCAGCTTCAACTCATCCCCATCTGATGTGTCTCAGTCCATGTCAGTCGATGAGAACAATGCAAATTTCACAGCAGATCAGACAAGCTGTCTGTTTCAGGATGAGAGCAAGCCCAATTTGGAGGGACAAGTCCCTCTCACATTGCTGGAGAAGTGGCTCTGTGATGATGCTGCACTTCATGCCCACGAAGACCTAATTAACATGTCATTCGAGAATGGTGCAGGCTTGTTTTGAAAAGGAAAAAAAAAAACAAGATCAAGCACTATATTACTATATTAGGGTTTCTTTTGTTTAATTTCTCTGAAAGTTAGGCTTTGGAGCTGTAGCTAGCCAGCAGCCTTGTAGTACTCTTTTTATTTTGTCAACTAGCCTAAGCAGAAAGATATCACCACCTTAAGCAAGAAACAGAAAAGTGTAAGTTAATTAAAAGTATATCCATGTTTACATATCTGCTTTTGTTCTGGAGAATAATGAATCAAGCTGTTTAATTTCATCTTTTTGTGGACCTTATTAGTAGGTTAAAAACTGTGTATATCTATTTAATTCCTCTCGTTTTTTACATATTTCTTGTGCAGAAAGTATGGGAATCATGATATTAGTTTCCCCTCAGTCTATACATATAGGAAAAAGCTTAATTCCACAGACTAGGATTCGGGGGATTCATGAATGATGAGAAATGCGAAGGAGACTCTTAAAGTAGGATTCTCTAGAGACGTTCTGCCACGTTACAATTTAACGTCAATTTATGTGTCAATATTATAAAACATTGTTCAAAAAACATAAGGTAGCAAAGAGTCCATGGCTTCCACTTTTGAGAGTCTCCTTAACATTTTTCCACCACTTGCAAGAGCAAAAGGTAATATTACTAGAGCAGCTCTAGCAAGGTTATTCTCCACAGGGATTGAATGAATAATTTATGTCAAACCAAATCTTAATTAATTAATTCTTTAAAACAAAGTTTGAGAAAAAAGTTGTTTTGTGATTCAAAATAATAAAAACGAATTTTAAATTTAAAAATAGAATAAATTGCAAAGTAGAGAAAACAAAAGAAAATAGTTTTGTAAATAAAGTTAAGCACTAGGATTCTGCCGTCACCTTAACAATCCTACGTAGTTTTTCCAATTACTTATGACTTACACATGCATATTTTGAAGGTTAGGTTTTCCTAAAGTATGCCTACTTGGACCCCCAACATAGAGCGTATATCAAATATGCAACCTGTTTGTGGTATTTAGATCAAATCTAAACATGCATGACTCATTAAGTTTTGTAAAAACCCTCTGAAAAACCATGCAATCTTAAGATGCGGTATTCATCCTAAGTGAAGTTGCACATATTAACCACAAGAAGCCTCCGTCAATTTCAGGGACCGACCTCGGACCAAAATTGCATCAAATTATTTTTCTAAATATCCTAATGGTAATCAAGCATCAAGACAAGGAGATAGTTTAAACACGGTGATTAATAATTCAAACATGCATGCATAATATCATGAGCAAATTGAAAAAAACTACATATTCTTGCTAAGGTTTGTGACCTCGCCCTAGCACCCTAGCAAAAGAGATTAGTTACGAACAATCATAAAACAAAAGGAATTTAATTAAAATAGAAAAAGTATAGATAACACCTTGAAAGAAAAGCACAAATTGTCAAAGCCTAGCAAAGTATTGATGTGTTCTTCTCCACCTCTTTCTAAAACCCTAATGGCTAAAAAGAATTATTTATACTACTCCATAATAAAATCCTTACTATAAAATGTCTTCTAAAAACCAGGAAACATAATAACTTTAGAGAAACTAGAAAACATAATTCTAATCAAATATGGCAAATCTGTCCGGCCACAAATCAGCCACGTTTTGAACCTATATCTGCTCCAAAACAGGCCCAAAAATAGCTAGATTTAAAGTTTGGAATATTCTGAAACTTCTCCAGAGGGCCACGTTGGGCTCCAAAACTTGCAATTAAGCCCAAAAATGTTACTTTCTAGCCCCGCGCATTAAACCTTTATTTCATTTCCATAAATAAATCGCATTGTAGAAAAATCTGAAACTTTCGTACAAACAAGTTGAGAGACACACGAACATCCTCCAATTGGAATCACTCCAAAATTTATCCGTTTGACCACTTTTTGCTTAAGAAGAAGTTGAATGTCCTACATTGAAAATATAATTCAAAGTATCAAAATTCTCACAAAATAACTAATAAATTAATGGTAAACTAAGGGCAAAATACATAATATAACATCGACTCATTAATATACCATGTCTGATATACGGTTTAGTACTAGGGTTTCACTATTACATTGATGTCGGCAGGAGAAATAAAGTCTGCTACGATTGGTAGGTTCAATATTACTAATCGCATTAATTTTGTTTAAACATATACAGTTCGACCAGTTCTTTAAAAAGTTATAGCCTGTGTAGCTATACAGTACTTATTCAACATTTATACCAGATCCATTGCACTTGATCTTGTGCCTGTATGCTTGGATTAAATATCTGCAAAACATCATATATATAATTAACCTTGTACTAATTTATAATATATTTCCTCCATTAACAAAACAAAACTTGTATTATTATATTTTAAAGATAGATTAAACTTTATCTTTGCATAGATTTAATCATCATTGGAATCTCATTAATTTCTTATTATTCTGTTTTTTCTTTTTTTGTTACAATGAAGGTAAGAGGGAAAGAGGGAATCTTCGGTCGTTGAGTGTGTAAATGCTCTAAACCATTACACTATAAATTTATATTGTCTTTATATATCATGGTACAAAAGTCACAACAAATTTATAATTCTAAGTTATGTTATTATTTGGTTTGTTAAGCATGTATTGAGAAATTGACTCGTTATAGATATCGGAGTTGGGTTCCAAGTCTCTCTCAAGCAACAACAAATAGTAAAACCCATTGTAAATCTCGCCCTAAACCCGCTTGAGTGGGTATTAGATTTTAACTTGTTCCAAGTGTGGCACCAATTTTGGTAAACTAGGGTTTCTTTTGGTTTCATGGCCTTTTTTGGATTCCTATTGTAATTTGTTGAAGTCTATGTATTATAACTGGGACATTTAAGGGTTGAGGGAGATGAGATTTGAACGTATAGAATTAATTAAATTGGGAGAACTTCTTGAGTTTATTGAGAAATTTCTCCAACTGTTGGGTATTTAAGCGGGTACTCAACGTGTCATAATACAAGTGGAAGAACACAAAAAATTTATCATTTCTTCTACTTGTATTTTAACATATGGAATACCACTTGAATACCTAGTACTTGAAAAATCTCTCGAGTTTATCGAACTCCTACACAAGTTACAAGGAGACATCAAAGGTTTTGGTGTGAGAGAGATTAATACCTACATTTGATATATAGGGGCCAGCGGGGTTAGTTGTTTAACCGAAGTGGTTCCTATTCTTCGATAGTGAAATTTCTCAGTGTGTTATTAGAGTGAAGAAATTTTTCAATGTGCCGGAAATACGGTCCAATACATCAAGTGTCATAATAAAATTGATTGAAATTTTTTTTTTAAGTTTCTAACAAATTGTATTATCACGCGTAGTGTATTAGACCATTTTTCCGGCGCACTAAAAAATTTGTCATTGGAGTCGACGCAACAAAATTTTGTCCAATCACTATAAATTCTTTGTGCGGTTGTTTACTTTTGTGCGACTATTCCTCTTCTTTCTAGTTGGATGTGTTCAAAATTACATGGTAACTGTTATTGGGCATAACAATTAATAGGGTAACTATTGTTGAGTAACATAATCACCACTACACGATAATATTGAGTGCGGTTATTTGTGTTCTTTGTGTCATAGTCACTATTACGTGGTAATTAATTATTGTTGGCCATAACAACTAATGGTGCTCTAATAGAAAGTTGCACTTATAAAGGTGAAATTTTTTATAATGTAAATTGAGAACAAAACATAATCATACCTAATAACCTAATACCCACGTTTTTTACATTTTATAACTGTTTTTTTTTAACGATATTATCTACATTAAAGAATAATGGTGAGCTTTAGCCTCATAATGACTAGCAAAAATGTAGTTTAATTCTTCTTTGATGAGAATCAAACCTAAAACCCGAAACCTCTCACTTACAAGTGAAGAGAAAAACCAATAAAATGTAATACTAAATGACTACCACTATTTTATTTTTTTACTTGCAACACTTGTTACTCGAACAATAGCTATCATAAACCACCGTAACAGTGACCATTGTGTTTTAAAGTGCACACACTAGACGATATTGTCGACTTGGTAATTCTTTGGCCCAAAACTCTTCTCCTTCAGCAGAGATAGTTAAGGTATTCCTACTAAAATAACCTAAAAATTAATAACACTATAACATCATCAACACAGACTACGTACATAGGGGGTAGTATTCTTATATTGATATATCATACATACAAGACGTGGAAGATTAATTTCCATTAAATTAGGCGTAGGACTCGTTTGAAAATACTTTTAAAATGACTAAAATCGTTTTCCAAGAGTCACTTGAAATGCTTTCCTACAAAAAAAACAAGTTATGTACTTCTTGCACAAATGACTTTTAGTGTTTTTTTTATGATTTACTCACATTTTAACTAAGTATTGGTTCCAAAAACATTTTTCATCAAAAAGTCTTGCATATGTTTTAAAATACCTTTAAACGAGCCCATAATTATCACCACTATTACTAACATTCTCTACATTGTCCATATGTGTGCGTGGTGAATTTACTCTCCATAGTTAATTTAAAAGGAAAACTAATGAAAATGACTTAAAAACTTTGAGTTTTAATGATAAGGAAAAAATAAAGGGTAAAGTGAATAGTATCATGATTGACTTTTCAGTGTAAAAATATGGTTTTTCGTTAAAGTAAACAGTACCGTGGGCTTTTCGTTAAAACCCCTAATTTAAACTCAAGTTTGAGATATAGTCCAAGCGGCAAGAAGTCAATATTATAGTCCAAAGAAAAATCGTTTCATACCCCGGTTTCTTATATTCCTCAAAGAAGTGCTAATCAGTAATCAGGATTAAGCTCGACCAAAAAAAGTAATTAAGATTAAGCAACTAGTAATTAAGGGCCGACAAGTGAGACTTCTAGTTCATGAGTGATTTTCTTAAATACAGTATTACTTTTGAATTCATAATTACAAGCCCTTTTGGGGCAAACCCCAATCTGTCAGATGGTTTTCTACTCAAACCTAATATATCGATTATCGGCTATGGTGTCTTGTCGGTTTTATCTTTCATTGTCAAAATTTCCATTCTGATTACTAAGAGTGGGTTCTGATGAGTGAGACGACATAGGAAAATCTAAAGCCAAGAATTGCCTCGGAAATATGCAAATTGAAGTCTGACGTGCAAAACATGTAAAGTGTTTGACTTTTTAAATTAAATTATTATCTTTAATACAATGATAAAATATTGGTTTGAAAATGTTTTTAAAATGACAGAAAGTATTTTTGGTGAAATTGATTTTGGGTTTCAAAAACA